GTCTTGAAAACCCGCTCGCTCCAGTGAAGATGTTTCTCGATCTGGTTCAAGTCGACCACGACGTCTCCCCTGGTGTCCCCAGCGAGGGAAGCCCGTCACGGGGCAGAAGGTGCTGACTGAGAACTCGCCAAACATGCGATATAGGATGTGGTGTTCCTGGGCCATCGGATGTGGGAGGTGGGGTTAGAGTGCTACCTGGGTGCGCCCTGTCCATGCGTTTCCCGTATTTACAGCGAGCGCTTAGGTTGTCCGTCAGCCTTTACGAATTCACCGCGCCCTCGGAATAATCAAAGAGACGCCTTCCTTTTAAACCTGCACAAAACCCCACCAAACTCCACAATTCCAAGGCGACGCACATTTCGCATTAATGATACGGACATACAAGTACAGTAGTGGAAGCAACAGGGGGATTCAATGGATAAGTAAGAGACGAAAAAACAGACAACGTCAATGTCCATATCAATCTCAAACGAGCGATGGGATGGTGGGTGGTAGGGATGCAAGTAGCTTATGGATATAGACTTGAGATAAATATGACAGGTGCGCGCGCGCGAGGCTCTTCTTCGTTCTTTCTTCTCTTTCTCTTCGTCGAGGCCTAGGGTCCTGCGGGATGCGGGGGCAAGCGCACAGCCGACCCGACTCCATCGTCACCGAAATACAGCAGCATCGTACAACATGGTGCTCTCCAGTAAGGCACCCCTCCCCTCCTTCCCCTCCCCGCCGAGGTACAAACACACACCAAACACCTCGGCCGTACATGCCCACAACGCAGACGCACACGAGCGAGCGACTCTGACAGCGCTCACGAGCCGGTACCGGTGCTCTGCAGCACGAACGGCGCGGAGGGGTTGTCTGGGCGGGTGATCTCTTCGTAAATGAGCACTGTGGGTTTGTTTGTTAGTGGTGCGGCGCGATGACGGGGAAGCGGTCAAAAAAGAAGGCAAAGTGTGGAAATTTGCCGTTCGAGGAATCCGTGAAGGGAAGGAGGGAAGGACGCAAGGGAACGATGACCATGAACGGATAGAGGACGCCAACGCACCCTTCAAATCCTCCTTCCCCAGCGGCTCCCCGTTGTCGAAGTCGAAAAACGACGGGTCGATCGGGTCCGCGGTCGGCTCGTCGGCGGGATCATGGTATGGCTGGGGAAGGGGGTTAGCGGTTTACTCGGTGGGGAAATGTGAAGAAAGAGAGGGGCAGGAAAGGAAGGACGAGGAAGGGGTAGATGAAGGCGCAGTCGCCGTCGAGCCCTAGCGGAGAGCGCTCACTGGAGCGCCAACGTCAGAACGACGTTCGCCCTCCTCTTCCTCGCAGTCCGAGGGCGCGATCCAGCTCATCCAGTATGGAGGGCTAGCACCGCCACCACAAGACGAGGAAAGGTGAAGAGCGCGAAAATAAGGAGACGATCGCCCCAACCAGCAACACGAAACGAGACGAGACGAGACGCCGCACGCATCCGTCTGCATCTCAATACGGTCGGGCTAAGAACGACGACGATGGTGCTGAAGGCGAGGAGCTCGAAAATAATACGCCTGCGGTGTCAACTCGTCGTGACGCTGCACGGATCCGTCTGCGGTCGGGCGTTTGAGGCTAAGCCAAGAACGACGACGACGACGATGCGCCCTCTTGCCATGGTCCTCGAGCAGCGCCACGGTAGCGGTAGCACGAAAAGAGGGTCGTCTGTGCAGGACGTTCGTTCCTTCTCATTCGAAGTCCCCTCAGGACATCGGCCTCCCTTGCAATATTCGTCCGAAACGGGACTTCAAAGAGCTGCAGCATTGCGCCCACAGACGACATCTCCACGACACAGGAAACACCAGGCGCACGGGCGAGAGGATGTCGGCAGTCCCGATTGACGCCGATATGGGAAGCGTCCAAGACGGCGCGCGCGAAAGAGGTCGTCCGCCAGTCGCTGGCAGCCTCAGCCGACAGCCGCCCGCTTGCACCGTCTTGTCTATGTCGGGCAACGCCAAGCGTCTAAGCGTCGTCTCGAAACCCTGCCCGACCCCATGTCCTCTCCGTCAGCTTGTAGCATCGGCGCACGAGCACGAGCGTGGCGCTGTTGACCATGGTCGGCGTCCGCACGACGGCGCGGACGCACAGGCACAGGTCCCGCACACAAGTACAAGCACTGTAGCCTAGCATGGCCACGAGCCCACCTGCCAAGACAAGGGCCGCGTCCCCAGGGAGAGGAAAGATCGGAACGCGTCAACGCGACCAGTGTGGACGCTCGCCGGCGCAAGCCCGTGAAGCACGAAAAAAGCGCATGCACCACGCCGCCGGGAGTGAGCTCCTTCCATCCATCTGGGCGCGTAGAAGGGCGCACCCTGCTCGTCATCCCCGTCCCCCGCCAAAAAAAAACTCCACAAAATACGACACCCAAAAAAGCGGAATATCACAAATCGCAAAACGCACCTGCAAATATGGATGGGCGAGCGCCTCACCGACCTCGATGCGGCGCTTGGGAGAGAAGGTGAGGCATTTTTCCATTAGGTCGAGGGCCTGGAGGGTGTAGGGGTTAGTTGATAAGAGGGAGAGAGGGGGGATGGATGGGAAAAGAAAGCGACGCGAGCACTGCGACACAGTCGAAGCGCATATACGCGCGCGCACAGAAAGCTCCCATCGCCGCCCAAAAGGGTCTAGGTGAAACAAAAGGACTCGGACGCACCTCTGGATTTGCCTTTGGAAAGAGGGCGGCAAATGGGCGCTTTTTGCGGAAGGGGAGGGCACGGATGTATTCGCGGCTGGAACGTAATTAGTATAGGCTTACTGAGCGCGGACACGACACGCACCTCCTCTGACTTGAAATGGCATAAAAGTCATCGATGGAGGGTGTGCCGAGGATGTCGAGGATGATGCTTAGTTGGTGGTGGTAGTCGCGCCCGGGGAACAGGGGCTTCCCGCTGAGCATCTCTGCGAGGACACAGCCGACGGACCACATGTCGATTGCGCGGGTGTACTCTTTGAAGGTGAGCATTACTTCGGGGGCGCGGTACCAGCGGGTTGCGACGTATTCGGTCATGAAGGTGCTGCTGTCGTTTGCGACGTCTGGAGGGGGCCGGGCGGAGCGGGCGAGGCCAAAGTCGCAGAGCTGGGGGGTGTGAGCGACAATTGAGTTGGTTATGAGTGCAAACCTTTAGATCGCAGTTTGCATTGAGCAGGAGATTGGAGGGCTTGAGGTCGCGGTGGAGGACGTCGGCAGAGTGGAGGGCCTTGAGCGCACGGAGGGTCTGGTAGATAAAGTACTGGCAGTGGTCGTCGGAGAGCTCCTGAGTGCGGATGACGCGGTGGAGGTCGGTCTCCATGAGCTCCTGGACGAGATAGACCTCGTTGAACTCGTTTATGGAGGGGGGGCGGAGGATGTCGAGGATGGCGATTATGTTTTCGTGGTGGAAGTGGCGGAGGAGCTTTATCTCGCGGAGGGTGCGGAGACAGAACATGGAGTGGTCGAAGGGCGTAATGCGCTTGATGGCGACCTTGCGCTGGGTGGGCTGGTGCACGGCGCTGACGACGACGCCGTATGCGCCCTCCCCGATCACGTCCACCACGGCGTACGACGACCCGACAACGAACCCCGACATGCGACTGTCCGACATCTGTGTTTGGTCTTGTTGCAAACAACCCTCGTCCACAACCATGAAGCTCGTCCGCTTCCTCATGAAGCTCAACAACGAGACCGTCACCATCGAGCTCAAGAACGGCTCCGTCGTCCATGGCACCATAACCGGTCCCTCCTCTCTTTTTTTCTCCTTCAAATCTAACCTCTTTCCAGGCGTCGACATGCAGATGAACACCCATCTCAAGACCGTCAAAATAACCGCCCGCAACCGCGACCCCGCGTCCCTCGACGCCCTCTCCATCCGCGGCAACAACATACGCTACTTTGTCCTGCCCGATGCTTTGCCCTTGGATACCGTCCGTCTCTCCTTCTCCTTTTACTTTGGTCTAACCGCCCCCCAGCTCCTCGTCGACGACGCACCCAAACCAAAGGGCCGCAAGAAGGAGCTCGACGGCGCACGCGGTCGCGGTCGGGGCCGTGGAATGGATCGCGGACGCGGCAGAGGCGGTCCGCGCGGTGGTGGTGGCAGAGGGCGCGGCAGAGGGTTCTAGGCGGCAGAGGCATCTACTATTCGGACGAGCCAGAGCTACTATTCGGGCGTCGCGATCAGGGGAGGAGCGCGCACAAAAGCGTTGACAGTCCGTGTATCATTTTTGTCTTAAAATTTCATCTCCTTTCTTGTATCTCTGACGCGCGCCGACCGTGGCACCCTGCTCGCTTGCTTTGCACTCGGACTCGGGCGTATCAAAGACCGCTCCTCAGCTGCACCTCCCACCCTCGGCGTGCCTACACGGTCCCGTCGTTCGTCGAGTCATCACCGTCGAGTGCGCCTCGAGGCTGTGAACGTGGTGTGCTACGGACGCATCCCCGCTGCCCCTCCGCGTATGCCTCTCTGGCGTATACCCGTCCGATCTTGGGCGCAAGCGAAACGGACTACCAAGTAAGATTTCTAGGAATCATCGGATGCTCGCGCGCACGAGGGTCGCGCCTCATCCAGCTTGACTGAGCTGAGGATTTCTGGAAAAAAAATCGAGAGGGCGTTAGGCAGTGAATGCATCCGATCTCCGCCAACGCGCCTCCTTCGTGGCTCGGTTTTGGTTTGATTGCTCCTCTTTGCGTGTAATTTCGGGTCTCGTATTTTTTTTTCGAGTTCTCGGCGGCAGCCGAACCGCGTTTTGTCATGTTTTTCTTCTTTCGAGAAAGTCGCTCCGCCAAGTCAACTCATATTTGCTACATGCATTCAACTGTGGAGGACTCCTTCGACGCGGTTCTCGTGTTTGGAACGTCTCTCTGATTTCGAAATGGGTATATAAAGGTCGTCCATCCTAACGAGAATTGGACGACAACGCGTTGATAAGGGCGGTGCAGCCCTCTTAAATTCAGGTTACTTATAATGAAAGAAGAGGGGGTTGGCAGAGGGTACGTGAGGAAAGGAAAAAAGGTCTGCTCCCCATGAGGGTCGAACTCATGACCTCCAGATTACAGAATCCAAGATTCCTCACGCTATATGAGACTGGCGCTCTAACCAACTGAGCCAGGGAAGCGTTGCCACAACTGCTGCGACATGCATACAGGAGTCGTAAGTGCACAGAGATCACGCCCACATCAGCAAATGTGCCCAACGCGGATATGACCGGGTGGCACTGTTGATCGCAAATCAGGCTGATATCGCCAAATTTAAACTCACCCGCGGCTACCAGTGCAATACCAGATGGTCGCGCACTCGCCAGTTATGTGCCAGGCTTCCGGCTTCGCATACTTCAGGGTTGATAGACTCCAGTATGGAGAGCTACTAGTAAACTCTGATCAGTATATATTCCAAACTTCAAGTAAGGCTTGGGGCACTTTGTCTGAGTTTCATCCGACTCCTGAACTAAAGTTCTGGCGGACGACTCGCGTAAGTATATGCGGTCTTGAACCAGTCATCATGAACGGATTTAACATCACATTGATGGTCCGTGCACATCAAGGATCTGACACGTGAACCGTTGTTGGTTGATTTTGATGGCGTCATCTCTTTCTCCCTCTCCATGTCACCACCGACGTTCCCCCCCGTTTTCCCCCCTGCTCCTCCCTTCCAGTTTCCCCCCCTTCAAGCCACTCACCACTCGGCTTGTCCTCATGGTTCCCTCAAAGCCCAAAGGCTAATTGAATGCGCCCACCACGTCAAGCACATACCGAAGTACAAGTTACTTGACCCACCCGCGCAACACCCCAAGCAAATGAGCATCGGATGAGCGGCTGTTAGCTGCCTACCAGCTGGCACCGGCCTGGTGATGGCGGGTGATGCGGCGATCTGAGCTCTGATCAGTGTTGCGCACATTTGCTGATGCAAACAATTCTTGTGGCGGTGAAATAATTCTATCAACTGGACCAACATCAGTCATGTATTGCGCTAAATTCGGACCTGGTAGGCCTACAACAAGGTTTGTTCCCTTCTTTCACAACAGCTTCAGGTGGTGGACATGAATTCGAACTTAAAGTTAAGAATCAAGTTTACCACATCAGGAAAAACCAAAGTTGCCCCATAGACCCAGAGAGACCCGCATAGACATTATAGACAAGAGACTTCTATCATAGGCTGGTGGGAGGGCATCAGTAAACCCTGGGCCCACTATAGAGTACTACAGAGCACTCTATACTATATAGTGCTGTAGTGTCTGTAGTGAAGGTCCATGTCTATAGAGTGCTCCATAGTAAGCCCCAGGACTATAGAGTACTCCATAGTAGGCCCAATGACTATAGAGTGCTCCATAGTAGGGCCCAGGACTATAGAGTGCTCTGTAGTGCAGGGCTCAAACCCAAGAAAAGTAACCTCACCTTCGCCATTCAAGAAGCCCTTCTTTCAACCGGGTTTGAAGTTAACTGGAACAGAAGTGAGTCTAAAGTACAGGAGGTGTTTTGGATTGAACGGAGATACATGCTGGACCTTTAGGTTTGGCTACCCTAGAGAACTTGTGTTTCGGTCCATCTTGCTACATGTACAAACAAATTGAGTCAGGTGAGATTAGTCATTGTAGCAATATACTGGTTTTCTTCTTAGAAAATGCCCCTACATACAGAGAATAGTCTATGGATATTCACTACTTGCTGGCTTGATTCATCACACCCGAGCTGAACCAGAGTTGGTTTAGAATTTTGGGATCATCACACTTGATAATAATCATTGGGCCCGAATCCCCCGGATCCCAGACGTGAACTGACTCATCCTGCCAGCAATCTTTCTTCCTCCCCCCATGTGCCGCATCCACCAGGTTTGATGGCCATGCAGCAACCTCCTCTGTCTCTCTGGGCTGGGTAATCAACTATGGGCTCCCCACACACAATTCCCTAGTCTCTGGGCTCATCACACTTCCATTGAATGTCGGCGACTTCTCGCTGTTCTTGAGCAATATTGCTGTGGCTCCCTCTCTGCCCTCTGATCTGATACTTGGCTCAGACTGGCTTGACTCTGCCATGTCCCTTGCACCTGGGCTTTATTTCAATTATAGTGTCTCCGTTGATCTTTGGTGCCCCTCGCTCTCAATAGCTGGCACCACAGACCCTGCACCATCATCTTTTGCAGGTATGTTATTTACCCATTTGACCGCATTCCTAGCTGAACACCGTTGTCTAGCTGTGTTTGTTGCTTCCCCGTCCTCCCCATCAGCACCCTTGTTAGGGCCTGGTGCAGTATTCCAACCCCCTGGGCTTCAAGGAGCCCAGGCGCCTCGTTCGCGAGGCATCCAAACCTCTGTTATAATGCAAAATACCTATGATAATAATGTTGATTTAATGCCGTTTGACAAGCCTTCCCTCGTATCCTCTGCTGTCGACCCATATGTCTCACTGCCTCTGAATGAAAAAACTCAAGTTGTTTGTTCACTTGTTGTCACCCAATGGGTTCCTCTGCCAACATTGAGAAAGATGACCACCCGCCACATGTACATATCTAAAAGAGAGTCTGGTGAGAAGCTGAAAACTGTTGACACTTTACACACTGAGTTTCTGGTGCATTGGTGAAACAGCATGTTTACAATGTGCTGCCATCTAGCTACATTTTGCGTTTTTTAGGGCTAGCGCATGACAAAGTCTGCTAGCTTCTATTGGACACATTACTAGCTTCTCAGGGCTACGAACTAGCAATGGGAACTCTGTTCAGTGGTACAAAGGAGAGTCAGAGTGAGCTCCAGCTACTGGCTGTAGTACGAGTTATAGTGCTAGGCGCAGTTTACAAGTGTTACACTAGACGAGTACACACATCAAGGAGATAAACATACAGGTCTAGTACCTCAGAGGCTCAGAGTGTCAAGGATTCTATGAACGAGGACCAACGACTGCACAGACAGAGCTTTGGTCAGAGCTAGCACAGAGTAGGAACGAGCACGAGCGAGCTAGCAGGTGTAGGAAGGTGGCTAGTGCCATAGCAGCTGGACAGACACTGCTGAAGTTGATACAGTAGTGGCCGAAGTGGCGCTAGCTGAGACAATGCGAAGGGACCGACTATAGGGGTATAGGAGTATACCCACCAGCAGATCAGGTGATGGACACAACACAATCCAAAGAGCCTAATAAAGACAAATAGCGAAAACAGTGAATTCATGTTGAGATGGAGCAGTGGATGAACGCTAGGATGTTCAGTCCATAAGATAGTGGAATGGAGTGGCGTGATTATGAGCAAGCTGCATCGGGAATAGTTCTGGAGTGGTGTTGCACATGAAGAGTTGCTCGGGTGCAGACTAGCACACTGAGAAAGGCAATTATACCCGGTTTACTGTCGAGATGGTCAGATAGTTGGCCAGCTAGGCAAGCCTAGACCACGAATAGACCCGGCTTGTCTTCCGGAGGCAGTCACATGACCAGAACATCGGCCTGTTTTACTCATTTCTCTTTACCTCATCATTTTCTCTCTGAACAGTATATAAAGCCCCATGAAATACCGCTAGAGACCAGTTCATGCCCTGCTCATCGCACAGTCGATAAGGGGATAAAGTACCTTCTCTGTTGTAAACCAGTCTATAAGAAATTGCAGCATTGTTTGTTGGATCCAGAAGTAACTGTGTGAACCAATAAGTTGAAGCTTCGCGTTAGGAGGTTGTGAGCAGTACCACTCTCCACATATAAATCAGGACCGAGAGCACAAGAGTTTAAGTTTGAGAGTTGCAGCTAGCTCTGTGGTGGACTTCAGTGGGAGCTACACATTGGGTGATCAGGAAACGCCTCCCATAAAACGGACCACGCCCGGCACAGCACTTTGGTAGAACTGTATTAGATCCGTGCCCAAAGCTTGCAACAGAACCAACTGGGCCAAAAGGCCATTGTAATCGGTTGAAGACTGATTACCGCTTTGGACTATATATAGCTGATTAAACACATTTGCATGCATTTAACAAACTGCCAGTCAAGTCATTGACGGACTAGTTGAGCTAAGAGAACACTCGGGGTCCTTAATAAGCCCAAGTGTAACAGAAAAGAGCTTGGATTCAGAGGAGTCTAAGTCGGCTGTTAGCTGCTAGCTAGCCAAGCCCTAGATAAAGTGCAGGAGAAGCAGCATAGCCCAATATTGGGAGTTTTCAGATAGACACTTCATTTACCTCACCTAGGACGACTGTACTTTTGTGCGTCCGCCTGGTAAACATCCTTATCACCCCCCAAAACTGTACATCCTAACCTTGGGAAGTCTTGTTTCGGAACGTCAAGGGTAGCTAGCCGAGGTTTGTTTAGTTGTGATAGTTGAGGCCATAATTCAATTCTTGTTGTGCTAGGAATCCAAACCAGTAGTCGCATACTACGGCTCGGACCCGAACTCACTGAGGAAGACGTGCTTAGTCTTAGTGAAGTATAAGTAGGGGATTTGGTGTTGTGTTAGGTTTTGTGTGTGGTGTGCTAGTGTTCAGCTAGCCTGTATTCAGAGCTTCTTTAGCCCATTTTCACTGTTAGTGCATCTTGCCCGTTTCATCGGTGTGGAGAAGGTCGTCTCATTTTGAATTCAGAAGCCCTGCTCATCGACCTAAGTCCTATGCCTCTTTCACCTGCGGATGTGCAGCGGTAGAAGTTAATCCTCGGGAAGGAAAGTCTGTTGCATTGGATGAAGGTGTACCCAAGCATCCACGTCTATCTCTCGAGTTTCCCATCATACTCTCTCAAGAGGAGAAAGATCAGATTGTTTGAGAGTTTCACCAGGCTACTAATAGCGCATCATTGAAGCGATACAAATGTTCTTTCTGCGGTAAATTCGAGATGGAAAGTCTTATTAGGATGAGAGCTGTAAAAGAACTTGATATCTCGCTGCTCCAGAGAGCGGTTGTAGAACTTCGGACGGTCTCTCGGCAGCCTAGAATTGAATCATTCAACAGCTCCTCCCTTGTCAGTGGTTCATATGTGCTGTGCCATCTCTGCAATTTCGCTGTTAGCAAGCATTCATTCAATTTGATTCCTTTGCGCAGTTATGCCAATGGCCTTTGGATAGGGGCAATTCCAAAAGAACTTCAGGATCTTACATGTCTGGAAGAACAATGTATTGCACGAGCACGAGCGACAATATGTATGTACGAGCTTACACTTG